GATCAAAACAAGCAACTTAGAGGAAACAGAGGGAAAATATTTCAAAAACAATCCATCAATAATATTCCTAAAGAGATAAATGAGAAATGAAAAGCTACTGCATCATGAAACAAGAACAGAATGTTACAAAAAAGAAACACTCAAGAAAACAACAAAAGAGCTCTTGATAAATTAAGACTCAATTCAAGTGTCACTTCCAGGAACCTGAATTCTGTGCCTCTCATCTGTGCACACATGAAAACAGTTCTCATGCCCTCCTATCTTCTTTGGTGCTTTCCTGTATTTTTACACAAATATTGTGTGCTCACTTTCTACATTTGTTTGCCAACTGTGCCCTTCCCCTACAAGGTATTTTTGTAAACATTATACTAGTTTTTTTCTTTACATATTGCTGTAAAAAAATTAGCAGAGTGTATTTACCAAAATACTTGTGGTTGGGGGAGCAGTTGGCATACAAATGTAGAGGCTCACGTGATTTGAGTAAAAATACGGTACTCTTCTGTCTCTCTCATTTACTTTAATAAAAAGTAAATGCCTGGAGTTCAGGGACATCTCATTTTTGTCTTTATATCCCTAATGCCTCATACCAGGGACAAAAAGGCAAGCAGAGTTTGGGGACCAGCAATTCCCATTGTTTCAAGGAAACAGGTGCTACATACCAGTCTGAAATGGCTCCTCAAGCAGACAGCTATTGCACTAAGTCATTGTTGTTGTTGTTGTTGTTATGTGCCATCAAGTCGGCCCCAACTCATAGTGACCCCTCCTTGGGTTTCTGAGGCATTAAGTCAGGGCCCATAAATTCAGGGGGAGTACAAAAGGATACCACCACCTATCTGTCAAGTTTGTTGTACTGTGGTGGCTGTGATGCTAGAAACTATGCCAATGGTATTTAAGACACCAGAAGGGTCATGTTTCAGTGTAGCTTTCAGACTAAGACAGACTAGTAAGAAAAGCCTTGTGATTTACTTCTAAACCTGAATTTCATTGAAAATTTCATTGTTTTTCAGCCAATGAAAACCCTACAGATCATGACAAAACAATGTCCAACTTGCTTGCTTTGGACACATCATCAGGAGGGATCAATGGCTGGAGGAGGACATGTTTGGCGAAGTAAAGGGCCAGCAAGGGTGAAGGAAACCCTAAAGGAGTTGGATTGGCACAACAGTCTCAACAATGGGCTTGAACATGCCAGTAATTATGAGGATGATGCTGGTGACATAGTGCCTAAGGCATTTGACTGCTAACCAGAAGGCTGACGGTTCAAACCCACTAGCCACTCCTTGCAAGAAAGGCTAGGCAATCTACTTCTGTAGTGATACCGCCTTGGAAATCCAAGGAGAGGTCACTATGAGTCGGATCCGACTTGATGGCAGTGAGTTTGGTTTGGTTTGCAGGACTACATAATGTCTTGTTCTATTGTACTTAAGGCTATCAGGGGTCAGAGTCAACTTGACAGCACGTATGTACATATGTATCTATCTATCTATCTACAAAAGCATAGTATCTCCAGGGACAATAACAGCCCTAGATTGTCCCAATGTTTCTTCTTTCTCTCTCAATTCTAGAGCTTTCTGGACTCTTCATAGTCAGTCAATTCATGTGCCTTCAATTTTCCTATACATACTCCTTCCTTGGGGAGGTTGCTGGGCTACTGCAGATACAGCTTCTGAGTATAACTGAGGCAGAGAATTCCAGAGCTCTCTGAGGGGCAGTGTGCTCCAACTTCAAAGGCATTCCTGGAGCATCAGTCAGAAAATTAAAACCACTTATGCCATGGCCTACAAACCAGCCAGCTCATTACAGGCAAAAACACATGGGGAAGAATGTTCACTGGGATTGCTCTCTGAATGGCAGGTGTGGGAAGTGGTCCCTGACACAGAATGCCAAGTCAGGGAAATGAAAGGCCCTTCAGACACAGAAGAGGAAGGTGCAGAGGGGCAGCTGCCCACTTAGGGTGGGAGTCTAGCCTCTTGCCAAAAGCCTTTTTGTTTGGTTAACACCTGGACCCTGCCCCTTGGATTATCAAGGTTCAAAAGTATTTAAATTATTAGTTCTTGGGCAATCAGGTTCCCAAAAAGAAATATTCGTGGGCACTAAGGACAGATGTGTGGTAAGCAGAGCAGTGAAAAAATATGGTAGAGTTTCTTATATCCTAGGTTTCCTTTTCCCAGTTCCCACAAAACTTCTACTGCCCACAGGATCACTGAAATAAGCAGCATAGCATCCCTTCCTTGAATTCCTGAAACTCTCTTATAACTCCTTTGAGAAGGAGTGTATACAGCAAGTAATTTTCCAATAGCATATAGAGGTCCAAGTTCCTACTTGATGAAACCACTATCCCACATAAGGTAATGAATCATGGTGTACCCACGATTTTCCCAGTTTCAACTCTGAAAGTCTTGTGTCCCAGGAAACTCCTCAGTCTCTGGTGAATGGGGACAGTTACTCACCCTAATCTCACAGTACTTTATTCAAACCAGTTCTAAGTTTACTTTGCCCTCCAGAAGAAAAAATTTCTAACTCTATTCTCTGAACTTTTTAATGGCCTGTAGAATCTGCAGACTCATTTGTCTCTGAACTACCGTCTGATATTTCCAGAAGTATGACTCTTCCAATACCCCAACCCTTAGCAGATAGATATATCAGTACAAGAAATACTAGAGACACCAGCATCATAGCAGTTATGGATATCCCCCTAAAATCTCACAACTAGTGGTCAAAATAGGGTAGAATCCAAGTTGCTTAATTCAGGAACCTCTAGTGACTAGACTAGAGTTTCTCAATCTTGGCACTACTATTTGGGGCTTGATAATTCTTTGTTGTGGGGGTGGCAGAAGCTGTCCTGTGCACTGCAGGATTTTAGCAGTATCCCTGGCTTCTGCCTACTAGATGCCAGAATCCCACCTTCTCCCACACTTTAACAACTAAAAATGTCTTCAGACATTGCCAAATGTCCTGTGGGGGGCAAAATCACCCTGCTTGAGAACCACTACACCACTCTTTTGCCTTCTTTGAAATTTTCCAGTATTCTCTACTTTTTTTCTTGTTTCCATTGGCTACCAGAGGAAAATATCCATTTTTTTAATTTTGGTCTTGGACAGATTATAAAAGTTTGTAACCAGTTTACCTCATGGCAGAAGATGCTATGCCCAGCCAATTCTCAGTGTGAATAGGAGTGGGAAGATTTGTGCTGTGCATTGACTGTGGCTTCACAGTGGCCAGGAAAGCAGCTGGCCAACACTGGACTGCCTGAGACTGGAGGCGGAGGTGCCAGCCAGGCTCTCCTCAGGCCAGAGCAGCAAGTTCCAGAGGTTTTTTCCCTCAACACAAATGATACTCTTTCACTTTAAAAAAAAATTTTTTTTTTTTTTACATTTAAAAATGTAGCATATTAGGAGATCTAGGACTCTAGATAAAAGCTAAGCAATCCCAAGATATTATTCTTTCTCCACTGCCTAATGTCCCATTGCAGAAGTGGTATGCTGGAGTTGAGCTGGTTTGGGGTTTGCTCGTTACCCAACCTACTCCTCCCCAGAAACAGATACAAATAGCAGTGGCCCAAGATGTTTAAGGGAAAAGGATCCACATAATGACAACATGTGTCATTTTCTACCTTGGTCAATTCTTTGCCAGGAGAAAGAAGAAATAGCTCTTCTTGATGCCTAGAAGATGCTCTAAAATTAAAAAGCAGAAGGTCAAGCATGAAAGAGTCAAGGGTTCAGGAAACTCAACCAGCCTGAAAATGGTTTACATCAATGTGTTTCTATTTTTTAAAAGTCTTAACTCCAACTGAGAGAAATGAAAACATGGCAGCTGAACCAAAGAGCACCATCTATCTACTTGGCTTCAGATCAAGAGTCCACAAAGTAGAAATTCAAAACAAGCTGAGCATCACTGGAGACAAATCAGATGACTACCCTGCCATATTTACTTGCTTGATGTATTTATAGTTACCATGACAAAAAGGCCATACCTAGTCATTTGGATCAAGAACATGGAGTTCTCTGATCCCAAATGCCTGTGATGCATGTCAATACTTCCTGTTCTTCCTATGAATTAAAGAAGGAAGAAAAAAAAAAAAAAAAAGGCAGCAAATAAGCAAGTCAACACGGGAAAGCAATTTCATCTCCAAAACAGGATGGAACAACTCTGAGAATGACACAAAGGGCTGGCATAGCCTAGCTGGAGAAGGAACCCTAGAAAGGCTATACCTGTATGACTGAAATATTCCCTGCACAGCAGCAGGCATTTCCTTAGTACACATATGAGTGAGAATGTGAGTGTGTTTGAGCGTCTGTTACTTGTAATTAACAAAATGTTGAGGAAAAAACAACCACCACCAGCACCTCCCAGTGCATGAAGAAACATGCATCAGCCACAGGCATCACGTGCCTGAAGCACCAGTCAATTCAGAACTGTATTCTGCAGCCTGGAGGCTAAACACTGAGGTTTAGCCTTTATAAAAAAAACCCCAGGGAGCTGGTGCAATGCCCTCAATGCCTGAATTGGCCTTTAATATTGGGGACATTTAGAACCCTGTGCTTTTCTCTGGAGCAACACTCTAGTCTCAAATTGGTAGATCAATCCAAGATCTGATGCAAAAACCTAAACAATAAATCCTCACCAACAGGCACATACCAATGGTGCAATGCACAATACGTTCCTTGCCGTTAGGTTCAGGGCCCTTGGCTCACTGCTAATAGGGTCAGTTGTGTTGGTGATCTAGGCCTCAGCTGGTCCCTAGTGATTATGCCTCAAATGAAGCCAGAGTGTGCCTTCACAGCTGAGGAGGGATCTTATTTTAGGAAAGTATATTTTGGCTCATTTGAGGTTAAAAATGTGAGTGGGAAAAAAAGCGAAGAGTGGGATCACCCCCAGTGGAGACAATGTTCAGTCCTCAGCTTCAGTTTAGTTCTATTGTTTTATGTGACTAAGGCCACAAACTGCAAAGTGTCGCTTCCCTCTGCTTGTGAAAGTGCTAAGCAGCCCGTCTGATTTACCGAGTAGAGCTCATTCAGGACCTTCATCAAATCATCTTGGAGCTGCTGGCCGACTTCTTTACTCTGTAAGAAAAGAGGAATGAAGGTTAATTAGGAAACAGAAGGAGGGGGCAACAAAGGCAAGAGCAGTACTGGCTCTACAAATAACACAGACTCAATTAGGACCCATTATTTAACCCAGCAAATCAGATAACCACTCAAATCAGACCTAATTATAGTCAGATTACTCAAAGAGTTTTAATAAAATGAAATGGGCCCCTTTCTATAGCTTAGCAAGGGCAACTGTGTGGAGCGGGAATGGATTGTAGCCTTTGGTTTTTCAAATGGTCCCTAGAGAGTAGGCCTGAAAGCTGCATCATCCTACCTAGCAACTATTGTTAGAAGGCACAAGTTTTCTCAGACAAACGAAGTCAAGCATTCCAGAGGATTGGGGAGGGAGGTAAGATGTGAAATAGGATGAAGAAGGAAAGATATAAACATCCAAGGACTTCAAATACCTAACAGTATAGCCACTCCTCGGAAGGAAGGTTGGGCAATCCTACTTCCGTAGTGATACTGCCTCGGAAACTCAAGGAGGGGTCACTATGAGTGGGGGCCGACTCGACGGCAAACAACAACAACAACAACAACAACAACAACATAGAAAACTCGAGGCAGGAAGGAACTATACCTCTTATTTGCTTTATTCCTACTCCAAACTCTCAGGACAAGTGTCAACAATGACAGGTTGCCACATTAGCTAATGTTACTCAATTCTGATCATACTGGTTAATCCTGCACAGTGGGGATTCTCAGATTCTTAGTTGCTGTCACCCAGGATTGGCATCTAATTTCATATAGAGAATGAGGAAGCAGGAAGGAAATAAGAACCACGCTTTCTGTACAGAGCGTTTCATGCCAACCTCAAGAGAGCAGGGGATAACACCGATTGGTACTACTGGGTCATTGAGATGGGAAATCTTTGATTCATCTTCTGCCAGCTCCTTCTAATTCTTCCACTAAGAATTCGGATACCAACAATATCCTTCCAATAGAAGGGATAGTATTCCCAGGCACAGCTCAGCATCAATGAAAAAAAAAAAAAAAAAAAAAAGCCCCCCCCCCCCACCGGCTTACATGTCAGAAACACAATCATTAAAATTTTTCTTTTTCAAGATGCATGACTTTAAAATACATCTTTTTCTGATAATAAAAGTAACACAATAAAACCTGCGAAAGGCAGAACCTGTGTAAGGGTGAAACCTATGCTTCATCGTCATTGTTGTTATGTGCCGTTGAGTTGAACCCGACTCATAGCGACCCCTCCTTGGGTTTCCAAGGCAGTATCACTACGGAAGTAGATTGCCCAACCTTCCTTCCGAGGAGTGACTAGTGGGTTTGAACCGCCAGCCTTCTGGTTAGCAGTCAAGAGCCTTCTGGTTAGCAGTCAAGAGCCTTATATATCAGAGAAGGAAAACTCAAATATTGCCATTAAATAGTGACAGAAAACTGGTGACTGTGCCTTGTCAAAGGTGCAAAACACAAGACCCAGAAAAACAAGGCATCCCCATAGAGTTCTGGCTCTCGCAGGTTCACTGTATACATTTCATAATAAATAAGGAAACTGTAGAAAGTCTCAAAAAAGAAAATAAAAGTAATTCTTAATTCCTACTGGTAAAACAAATCACCATTTGGGACTTTGATGTATATTCTTCTAATCTCCATTTCATGACTATTTTTACAGAATTGGAATTGCATCTCTCTCTCACACACACACATACACACACACAGAGTTTTGTAACTTTTCCACTTAAATGTATGCTCTGAACATTTCCCTATATATTACTCTTCAATAACATTATAATACATTATATTGATATGGGAGCTCTGGTAGTGGTTAAAGCATTTGGCTGCTAACCAAAAAGTGGGCAGTTCAAACTAACCAGCTGCTCTGCAGGAGAAATATGAGGCAGTCTGCTTCAGTAAAGATTTACAGCTTTGGAAACCCCATGGGGGCAGTTCTGTTCTGTCCTGAAGGGTCAGTATGAGTTGGAATCCACTCAATGGCAGTGGGTTTGGTTTACATGTTGATATAGCTCCTGTTCTTAGACATTTATTTTGCTTCTGATTTCTTGCATAAAAAAACAACACTGCATTAAATTACTCTGTACATAATCTATGCACACACCTTTCATGATTTTTATCCTAGGAGTAACATCCATTCTTAAATTCAGAAATCTTCACAATGTGTGTGCCTTTGGGGGAGAGTACAGCCCCAGGAAAGGCTTCTGTGCTGGCCACTGCAGAGAGGCTGCAGAGAAGGGAAGCTGCTAGGGGCCTCGCCCAAAGACAAAAACCCCAACCCAACCTACTGTCATCAAGTTGATTCCAATTCATAGTAACCCTATAGGACAAAGTAGAACTGCTCCATAGTGTTTCCAAGGCTGTAAATCTTTACAGGAGAAGACTGCCACATCTTTCTCCCATGGATCAGCTGGTGGGTTGGAACCACCGACCTTTGGTTAGCAGTTGAATGCTTTAACCACTGCAACACGAGAGCTCCTTGCCCAAAGACAACGGAGACATTTATTCCCCAGAACAACTACTGGGTCAAAGATTACTCATTTATATCATTAAAATGCCCTTGAGAAAACGGTACCAACTTAGTATAAGCAATATAAGAATGTGTATTTCTCTCTTTTTATCTTGACAATTTGATAGAGTGTCTTATTGTAATTTGCAACCCTTTGATTCCAGTGAATGCAACTTTTTTTTTTTTTTCACATTTATCAGCAATTAAAATTTTTCTTTTCTGTTTTGGTATTCATTTTTCTGTTAAGGTATTCATTAGGGAATATGGCATATGTGTGACCTCTGTCATGAGTAGGCATGAATTTTCACACGTGGTAGTTGGGAGAGGGGTGGAAAGAGCCCTGAATTAGCAATCAGAAGGTTCTCCTTCTATTCCCAGCTCATCCATGACCAAATAGATAACTTTAGACAATCTATTTAATCATCCTGGGCCTGTTTTTCCTTCCATAAAACAGAAGGCTCTGGCTGAAACATTTAAGGTCTTTTCCAACCTATGCCATCCTATGGTTTATAGGATCTTTTGCCTGGCTTCTTGTGTCAGTATTAGCATCAAATACCACCCTGTAGCATGCAGTTGTGGTTGGTTTCATACCATATAATAGAAGATAATAAGCAAATCCTACTCAAATTCTGAGATGCTCTATAAAACAGATGGCTTCAGATACACCTGGTCAATCTTAAATTCACCTTTCCCAAATGTCTCTCACCCAGTGACCTGAACCACTGGAAGAAGCCACTGCCTTTCATCTAAACTCTCACATAAAAGCTTCTCCTAGCCATCAGGAGGAAAACCGAGCTGCACTGAAGCAGCAGATGCTCAAGGAGGTGAAGTGAGGTGAAATGACTCAACACCAGCCCCAGAGTCAGCAACATGGTCAGGAAGTGACCAAGAGTATCACTTCCCACCGCCCTGCCCTCCCGCCTCCAGGCCAGCTCCCTCTGCCAGCCTCCCATCTACACTTATCAATGCCTTATTTTTAAATGGCAGCGGTTACAGGAACAAGCTCCCGTTGATCTACCCTGTTGCTTTACCCATAATTCAAATGACTGAGCCCAGAGTCTGGGGCACGGGTGAGAGTAAAAAAAGTATAACCCATAAAATAACAATTAAGCCCAGGCAGATGTTTCCTTTCGTGTACTGATTAGCTGGGAGAAGGATGGACTCAACTATTATCCCTGTTTATTTAAACAGGCTGCTGAAGGGATTCTGACTTGCTTCTTCAGCTGAGTGCCCTGCCAGACTGGGAATATATGTGTAGCTAGCTCAGTTAAAATGTATGATAAAGCCTCTAGCAATTGGGAGGAAATTTGGAAGAGAGGCAGGAAATAGCCAGTGCCTCTCCTTTCACAAATGACAAAAGGTCACCCCGTTCTCTAATTCAGAAACCTTAACTGTGTGCCTTTGGGGAGAGCACAGCCCCAGCGTGTCCCAAGAAGGGCTTCCGTGCTGGCTGCTGTGGAGGGCTTGACAGAGAAGGGAAGCTGCTAGGGGCTCCGCCCAAAGACAAGGGGGGCCTTTATTCCCTGGAACAACTAAACCTGATGAGGTCAAGCACATGACTATGAAGACTGCAGAGCCCTTCCGTTCCCTATTAAAAAAAAGTAGGGGGTTCAAGGCAGAGAAGAAACCAAATTTACAGAGTGGTCTTTGTGCACTATCACACAGTCTGCATCTCTTTTCTTTAAAATTTCTTGGAAGAGAATGAGTCATCTAAACATTGCAGGAAGCCAAAGAGAAGCTGGGGAAAAAAAATTACTTTAGGCAAAGTTTTTCTCTTAAATGTTTGTATAGTAATCTGCCTGGAAAAAAAAAAAAAAAAGCTGCCTAAATTTAGAAAAGAGATGTGGCATGGTTAACAATGATCATTCTAAGGGCTGGGAAGTAAAATGGTGTACTGAGGCTGAGATCTTTTATTTTGAAACTCAACACAACTCGTTGACCAGAGTGTTTCGCTGGGCCCCCACCCTGACTGCTGGTGAGGTGGGGCTGATTGGAAGACAACGGATTGCAACAGCTCCTGCCAGCTGCATGCTCACTGAATGGTAGGGAATCCTCCTTTTTCAACTGATAACAACATTAGGCAACACAAGTGAAAGGTGTGGCCTCATCTCTTCAGAGCTGTAATGTCCCAAAGCCTCCTCACTTGCACACAGATGGTAAAGGATATGGCAGCAGAAATGTAAGGAAACATGAGGGTACACCCAAAGGTCTGGCTGCCTGGTCACCAGGCTGGTCACACCTCTGGGCCTTTTTACGTCAATGTAATTCCTGAGCTTGGATGGGTTTGTATACTAGCATATCTCAAAAAACAATGATCAAAAAAGGTATCAAAACCAGTCCTCACCAGGGAGATTACCTGATTCTTTAGTTACTCATTTAGATCAGTACTTGTGCGCTCTCCAAGTCGGGCATGTGTGTGTGACTTACTGATATATCAATACTAAAAAGCTATTATTTTTTGACAGGCACAATATTCTCCCCTTTGTCTATG